AATGTCTTGGTTAAGCTAAATGACAAAACTGACGTCACAGGAGGACATAAGAGGGAGGTCCAGACGGAGCGTTTGAAGGATGACTCACGAGTAGCCCTTAATATTCAGGACTCGTTTCACTGTCCACAGATAAAGTGGATCAATTTTAACATTTATTTCATGATAATCCATTCAAATGTATTGACCACCCATGGCATACGCTAGCCTTCCTGAATCCTGAGGATGGAGTGACATGCAAAGCAAGACCCACCCCTAAAGCAAGGGTCCCAGCAGCTCCAGCTTGTGTCAGGAAGCATCGAACCAAGAGCAGGCCAGGGACGTCCCCAAGATGGAAACTAACACATTTTAGAATAGACAATTTTGTTTTTGTTTGTTTTCTCAGGTATTTTTTTTTTCAAATCAGTAAAGCCTTCTACCAAACCATTTAGGTAAAAATGCTTAAGTGATGTGGATTGAATGATTTTTCCATCTTTTCCTTATTTTTCCTGCCTTGGAGGTCTTCCTCACATGACTCAGAGGCTAAGGGTTCTTGTTGCTTGCAGCAGGTCCACTCTTTGCTGTCTTAACCTCCTTCTCACACAAGGTCTTCTCTTTCTCTCTCTCTCTCTCTCTCTCTCTCTCTCTCTCTCTCTCTCTCTCTCCCTCTCTCCCTCTCTCCCTCTCCCCTTCTCCCCCTCTCCCCCCCCCTTCCTTTTTTCTCCCTCTTTCTGAGAAAGGGTTTCATGCGGCCTAAGCTGGTTCCTGAATTTATTTACTAAGTAGCAAAGTTTCACCTGAATTTCTGATTCTCCTGCATCCCCCTCTTCAGTGCTAGGATTATAGGTGTGCTCCACCATTCCCAAAGTAAGATGCCAGAAAAATTTCAGAGCCCTCAGAAAGTTCATCTCTCACAGAAGAACACTGTCTCCAAAGGTGATGGGAAGGCGATCCACCAACCAAACCAAACCTACAGGCAACTGTCAGCTCTACATGATCTTTTTTTTTTTTTTTGGTTGTTTTGGTTTTTTCGAGACAGGGTTTCTCTGTGGTTTTGGAGCCTGTCCTGGAACTAGCTCTTGTAGACCAGGCTGGTCTCGAACTCACAGAGATCTGCCTGCCTCTGCCTCCCCAGTGCTGGTATTAAAGGCGTGCGCCACCACCGCCCAGCTCATGATCTTCTTATATTGACTAAAATTCCTATAATGATTAGATTCACCATGTTTTGAGCTAAATATTGTCTTGGTTTGTTTTCAGTTCTAGTTGGGGCCTTAATGTTATTTATTTAGTCACCTTGTTTTGTTGACAGGGCAACAGAGCCTTGGCGTGTTATAACACAAGATCCACAACATTTCCGGAGGGGCCAGGCAGGCTGGCACACGCCTTTAATTCTAGCTCTCTCTGAATTTGAAGCCAACCTACAGATTGGGTTTCAGGACAGCTAGTGCTATACAGAGAAACTGTCTTGAAAAGACAAAATAAAAAATAAATAAAACACAAAGAAAGAAAAGAAAAATGCATTTCTAGATGGACTGGGGATAGGCAATGTGGATAGATACCAGTGGTGGCATTTAAGGTGGTCCTAGGATAGGACCATTGGGTTTCTACAAAAGAAGGAATTACTCTTTGTGTAAAGTTAGTTTTGTTGTTGTTGTTGTTTGTTTGTTTGTTTGCTTGCTTGCTTGTTTTTTCTCACTATCCTGAGTAATTCTGAGTATGCCAAGGTCAAGATCTCAAGTCGGCGACTGGGTAGCCTCAATGTTTTTTTTAATGCTGGCGAATCTCACATTGTAACTAACGAAGCTTGGGAAGACAATTAAGCCTAGTGAAGGCTGATAACATGGTTTCACTAACATTTCATATTTTTATGGTTATCTGTCATTAATTGGAAGTAATAATAGTATTTAGCTTGTTAATGGGAAGTTTTCTTCCGAGATAACAGTTTTAAGTAAATAGTGTGTGTATTTAAGAAGATCGCTTGTTCACGATACAGCTCAGAGGGGGTGGCCAGCAACCGGGTGGTACGAGAAGACCAACGCTTGGGAACCACGGGGCTAAGAGGAAGACTGGGGCATTCCATTGCCAAATACCTCATCTAGGGGAATGAGCTGCAGGCAGGCACACGTGGCAAGCTGATGGCTTCCAGATGTAGAGTTGGAGGCTGCGTTGGAAATAGGCTAGATAAAGGCAAGGGGTGAGCCCATGTGCGGCTTATGATGTGGAGGGCATCCAAGCTGCCTCTTGTCCAGACTGGCAGTATGGCAGTGCTGAAGTTTCCTCAGGCCTCCTCCTTCCCAGGGGAAGGGCGAAGGAAGCTCTTCTGAGGAGATGGTGTGTAGGCCTGACCTAGGTGTCTTTCCCAGAGTCACAGATTGTCTTTGTCACCATGCCCATTCCAGCACCCCTCTCGAGAACAGCTGGTCAAGAACGAATTCAGATATGACAGTCCAATCATGGGGTGCTTTTGTGAATTAGAGATGTTTAGCCCGTACTTCTGTAGGATGAGACCAGAGGCATACATCAACTTCGAACTCCTCTGACCGCCCACATCCCGTCATTTTCATCATCTTCCCTCTCGTCCACTTTTATGACACCTCAGCCAAGATCCACTCTGTCCATTTTTATTTCACGTCGGCACACATCCATTTTCCAAGTAGGTGTGCATGAAGGATATTCTATTAACAAACAGGCTCGTACTGTGTTGTCGACTCCCTGCTCGAGAGTTCCAAATGCCCGAGCTGAGCTCCGATTCCCTCTGAATGGCCCTAGGAAGGTTGCTGCTCAACATGACCTGAAATGGATTCATTTCCCCGTGGCGCGATGTCCGGACAACCTAGCCATAGAGAAACCGCTTGCATTCAGCGGTACTCTCTGAGGGCAGACAGGCAATTGTTGCCCAAGGAGTCTGTCGCGTTTTCAGAATCTAACTCGAGACTGTTTCGGAGAGAAAGTTCATTTGATAATTTTCTGATTTGTTTCCCTCCTGCCTTTTCCTCTAATGGCTTCGCTTTTCGATTTCATTTCCCTGTCTCGAAGATTGAACTTTAAAGAGGCCCCTTTTATGGAGTGTACGCTAAAGTGCTCTGTTAGGCAATATATATTTTACCTGGAGTAAAACGGCTTCTTACAGTCAGGCAGCCTTCTGAGCCTGGTTACCCCTCTACCTCTATATAGGATAAAAGTTCTATGCCAGTCAGTAAAGAAAAAAGCATGGGGTGTGTGTGTGTGTGTGTGTGTGTGTGTGTGTGTGTGTGTGTGTGAATACATCTAATAAGCACATTTCCGTTTCTCATTTTCCTCAGATGTTCCGCGGCTTCCATATGTCTGTTGCATGCGGCTTTGTTCAACCAGTTGGGTATTACTAACCTTGGCCTTGCCTTTGATGGAGACCATGTGTCTGAACTGTATCGTTCACTGGTGTTTATGCCTGAGTTCCAATCTGGGGTAGCGGAGAGAGAAATGGGAGGGAGGAAGAGAGAGAGGAGCATTGGGAAGGATGTCAGAATCTCTGTTTCCATCTTTCAGTGTCTCTGACAGAGATGTCAGGCTATTGGTATCTGTGTGTAGGAGACAACCCTGGCTAGATTGGCCCTGTCATGGAGACTTGCTTTTATGGCTGGCCTGTCCTCTTCACTCCGCCACCAGGATGCTCATCCAATGTGGTCAGCTGGTTCTGACGCTTTCCATATTCTGGTTCTGGTGCTAATTTGTTTTACTTACTATTTCCTGCATTGAGAATTGCCAGTCCCGTGGGTACTGGGGGTGGGTGGGCAAGTGGGAGAGGATAACACTCATTTGTTGGAAGCCTATTTTCACATTCCCACAGTTTGGGGAGTAAGTGACTATGCTTTCAATTTAACAACCCCCCCCCCCAATCTCTGGTCCTTCAGGCCAGCTTTGTAAGATAAGATGAAGGATTTCATGAAAGTTTCCTCTTCTCTCTGGGGATTGGCCGTTGGCACTGGTCCACGTCTGTCACAGCAGAGCTGCTAACAGCTGGCTGGAGATGACAGAACCGCAGAGGAGAGATGCAAGCACTGGGCAGCCTGATTTCATAAATCTCAAGTATGCACACACATCCCCCCACTGCCCCCCTTCCAAGAACGTAACCAAAAAGACTGTTTTTATGTCTTTCTCAGTGGAAAGGAAGGTTTGCCACTCAGCAGGCACAAGAACAATTTCAACTCTTACAGAATGGTTGCATAATGTCATTTATGTCCAGAGAGACCAGCGTGGTTTTATTTGTGTTCTTCATTATTTCCGTGGCCGTGTTCAAATGGAAAAGTCTTGCTGTAATTAAGCAGTACCTTTATTTATATTGGAAAGTGGATAAATCCTTTGTCTTCCAGCATTCCCCACCGTAACTGTGGAAGGATGCAGAGTCTCCCCTGCTTGTCAGTAAGATGCATCAGTTCTTGGGTAGACCTTGAAGGCAAGTTGGTCCTTAGGCAACTATTACTTGAAACAAACAAACACCTCAGGCAGCATGCCCTGTACCCATAGCCCAATAGAAAGAGTGCTTTTAGGTACCAGGGAAATGACCCTGTGGACTTTTAAAGTCAACAACCCTTTGCTTCACTGGTGCGTGCGTGCATGCACACGCGCGTGCAGAGGCCACTGGACGTTGAGTATGAAAGGATTCCCAGTGTCCTCCTCTAGCATTTATTCTCCATTCACCTCACCAGTTCCAAGGTCACAGATTAGTGCCAACCACAGCTAGCTTTTTTATGAGAGCTGGGCTTCAAACTTGAGTCCTGATGATTGCTGAGCAAGCACTCCACCCACTGAGCCCCGTCCTAGGTACTTCTCATAGATGGTCTTTTAAATAAAAGTCATATGCAAAGTGAAGCCTGGAGAAGATGGTGATGGAAAATGCTGAGCTGGTCTGGAGAAAGGCAGCATGGCCACTGAATTTGCTGAAGTAAATGAAACTGTTGAGTGATGGTTCTTAAGATGCCGTTCTTTCTAAAGGAAGATCCTTTCTTTTTTTTTTTTTCTCTCTCTCTCTTCTCTCCCCCTGCTAGCACCATCATCCATTGCTTTGGTCCAGGCTAAAGAAGTCACAAGATACAGTGTGGCTCTGGCTTGGTTGGAACCAGATCGGCCAAATGGAGTGATCTTAGAATATGAAGTCAAGTATTATGAGAAGGTATGTCTTCTCTTCTCTCCTTCCCTCACTTCCTTCTTCCAACTCTTTTTTTCTTTCCTTCTTTCCATTCCTTCCCCTCCCTTCCTCAAGTACTAAACATTTCTACATCATGAGACAGCAATCAATACCAAAATCAAATGCATCTTGACTCACAACAAAATCTGATTATGAAATGTAATATTTGGCTTGTTACCTTGGAAGCACACATTATGTTCTGATATAATTACATTTCTTCCTAATAAAAGAAATCGAGACCTAATCTATATACCTTCTATTATTGAGAATGACTCATAGCTGCTAAAATAATGGTATGTTTGAGCAGAGTACGGCTGTTCAAAATGACGGTGTGGGTTTTGATGACGTTTAACAGAAAACGGGGTGAGGAGAATTATGTTCTTCAGCCCCTTAGAGAAAGACATTAATTTTGCAAGTAAATTGTCTCTGAAAGGGCAGAGTTCTAAAGAGAGATATTTGCATCCAAGCTTGTTCTGAAAATGAACAATCTTTGTTTCTGTTTTGTAAGTTTTATTTCTTATATGTAGTTATATATTCTGTCTGCATGTATGCCTGCAGGCCAGAAGAGGGCGCCAGATCTCATTAGAGATGGTTGTGAGCTATCATGTGGCTGCTGGGAATTGAACTCAGGACCTCTGGAAGAGCAGCCAGTGCTTTACACCGCTGAGCCATCTCTCTAGTCCCTTGTTTTTATTTTTCAAGACAAGGTCTTTTTCTGTGCAGCTCTGGCTGTTCTGGAACCCACTCTGTAGACCAGGCTGGCCTTGAACTCAGAGATCCACCTGCCTCTGCCTCCCAATTGCTGGGATTAAAGGCATTGCTTATTGACTTCCTTAGTAGAAGCAGAAAGACGGCTGGGTTGTTTAATTAATATAAGATTACAATATTTTTGCCATTTTCCAGACAGAAAGGAACCTTGTATCAAGTAGAAAAAATAGAAGTGGGTATATTGGTTTCTGATGTACAGTTATGTCCTGGTCCACACTAAGGAGGACTCAAGGACATGGACGAGGGATGAGACTCTGAAATGAAGATCAGGATGCTGATTTCAGGTTTTTAATAAATCTTAGGGTATAGGAAAAACATCAACCATCATTTGATATTCTTTACAAAATCAGATTGTTTCATCCTCAACATCCCCAAGAATTAGAAATAAAAATAATGACCAACGTCAGCAGTGACCCGGAACTCGGTCCTTTTCTTGAGCCTGTAAGAAATGACACCAGAGCTTCGACACTGCAAGCACTACAGAGCATTTCAGAGAGCATGGGCCTTGGAGAAGGTACCCAGTGTTGGGTCACTCGCTTCCTCCGCCTCCTACCTAGAGTCAGAGGATGCATCTTGCCACCTCACCAACTTTGCTTTCCTGCAATGTTGTAGGATCAGAATGAACGAAGCTATCGCATAGTTCGGACGGCTGCCAGGAACACGGATATCAAAGGCCTGAACCCTCTGACTTCCTATGTGTTCCACGTGCGAGCCAGGACTGCCGCTGGCTATGGAGACTTCAGTGAGCCCTTGGAGGTCACTACCAATACAGGTAAAGAGACCACCCAGACTCCACCCGTCCCCAGATGCTTTTACTTATAGGTTGAGCCCTACACTGCCGAAATCTAAAAAGCTGTGCATAATTTTTGGCTAGGTAAGCATTTGGCTACTTTGGACATTTGCATAAAACAAGATAACCAGTGTCTACTTATTAGAAACTCTCATGCTGCTTAGAACATTTTTCGCAATAGTGTCTTATCTGTCTTCCCGTGAATGAAAAATGATGTCAATGTTAGTCCTTTTGAACCTTCTATTCAGCCATGAATAATGGGTATACTAACCTGACTAATTGAGGGTTCTGTAGCCACCCCACATTAAGAGAAGTTTTCTTCCTGAGAAGATTAAAGAACGAACGAAAATTACCCATTTTTTCCCCTACTTATTTCTAGGAATCTGTTTAAATCGTGTCATTAGGGTGCATGCGTGTTTTTACGTCCTTTGTACACCATTAAGTCTTGCTCCCTGGAGAGCTTGGAATGGCTAACTGAACAAAAGTTTTCTAGATGAGAGATGCCTCCTCCTTAATTACCGAACCCAAGCTGAGCCTACTTGATAAGACGATGGTGGGACTGAATTTTCAGCATCTGTTACAGATGCTGAAGTTATTAAACGAGGATGAACAAGACAGATGAGAAAGTTGAGATGACTCTAAAGGACACATATCCTTGATGTTATGCAGGAAAGCTTTAAGGAGGAGGCTTTGAGCCCACCTTTAATAGGTTGGTTTTTTAATAGCTATGTATGGAAGTCGACCATTCGGGATCATTTGTTCCTTCTGAACTTTCCAAATATCTCTTCACTAAGGCATGTATTTTTGTTTTTCACTATGTAAGACTTTTGACAAAGAGGATATGAAGGCATCAAAGCACGTATTTTTAGGTTCATCACAGAACGGTTTAAAAGAATGTGTGCGTGGTGTGTTTGCTTTCAAAGATGCTGTTACATAGACAGCTTTAGACAGTTGAATGTGCTAACAAGTTCCATCTCTTAGGACCCCCCCCCCATGTGACCTTCATGTAATTGTCATTCCAGTGCCTTCCCGGATCATTGGAGATGGCGCCAACTCCACTGTCCTGCTGGTCTCCGTCTCTGGCAGCGTGGTGCTTGTGGTCATTCTCATCGCGGCTTTTGTCATCAGTCGTCGGTAAGCACAGGAGCACAGCCCCCCGCCCCGCTCAGTTTTCTGCAAGAGACTTTTGCCTTCCCCACACAAAGCCACAGGCTTCTGCATGCCAGGGGTTCTCTTCACTCTGGTCATCCCACATTCCTCCAGGATTTTATGGCAGGAATTGGGTGGCAGCCTTCTTTCCATTGAGAGTCCTGGAAAATTTCAGCCGGCAGCAGGAAGCCAGTGGGAGATGTCTAGATCCATTAAACTATGAGTTGTTACATTTATCCCTCTGGTAAGCCTGGACTTTGCTTCCAAATGTTGAGCGTAGCCATCTGACAGCTGGATTTGTTTTCTTGTATGAGATAGCAGTGGTTATTGTCTGCCTCTAAGGGATGGTGGCAAGAAACTTTGATAGACACCGTAGGTGCCAAACAACACAGTAGGAGCTTCAGCATGCTATTGGTTAACAAGAATGGAAAGGAATAAGAGCCCTGTGCTACCTCATCCCTCGCAAAATGCCATCAGCATCTTCAACTTCTGGTTGGGCAGAGTGTTTATGCCCTGTGCATTTAAGGAATATGTTGATGCTTGAGAGGGAGAGAGAGCCTGTGATGGCTTGGTTGTGTGGTCTTTGGAGCAATCTTACTTCTCTCACTTCTGTCCAGTTGTTCACACTAATCAGTTGCGTCATGGGGTACAGCTGCTCATCATCAACCGTGCCCCACATTTAAGCTTTCCCCACCACATCCCCAGTTTCCCAAGGTGCGGCCTTTGTTTTAAGTATGACCTTCTTCAATATGAAGCTCTTCACGTGAATGAAGATGAAAGGGACATAGAGACACAGGACTTGTCTAGTGTCATCTTGTTGCTAGGCCTGTAGTTAGAGCTCCGGTTGGTCTCCCAGCTGCCATCCTTGGCTCTCAGACCACTGGCGGTCCTGTTGTCCCATCCACCTACTGATGATCTCACCAATGTCAAACCTGTGTCTTTGACTGTCACCATCACATTTGCAAGCTCCAACGCTTCTGATGCACACTGATATACATTGCTGTTAGGGTGATGAACAAAGGGGAGGGTTCGCCCAAGTGACCACTAGTCACACACTTTTCCTAATGCCGTGACCATACCCTCGCTTTCCAGAGTGCCCCATATACAGAGATCCATTTGTTCACTCCAATAATAACACCCTATGGAATAATGTGTGGTGTCTCTGTGTTTGTCGTTGGCACCATTCCTTTTGACAAAGTCTTTAGGTCGGTGTGTTTGTCTAGAGTGGTAAGCTAAGTCTCCAAGAAGTAAACATTTGAAAGGCAATCAAGACTTTTCCTTCTTTGCTGCTATGAGAGTCTGCTTGTGTACATGTGTCATATACAATACATTCTATGATGCCTAGGAGGTGATGCATTATTCCCAACTCCTCCAATCGCGTGGGAGAACAACAGAGATTACGTGAACATTTGTTTAAATTAGGTGCATATTTCAGTGTTTCAACTAAAAACACAGGGAGTACAGAAATGGGGAGAAATGAATGAATAGCATAAAAGGCCTCTCTGCCTCGGGAACAGTAGCTAGAGGTCTGGCCACTGTGTGATGCTTAGCGGCGCATGCGCGTTCCCAACACTTGACGTATGCACCGACTGGGGTCATTCTGCAGTTGGGGTCTAGCTTTTCTGCAGATTTCCTTTCCTTTCCTTTCCTTCCTTCCTTCCTTTCTCCCTCCCTCCCTCCCTCCATATCTTTTTAAGTGTCCCCAAACACAGCAGTCATACTAAACAATTAGAGATAAGTCACTCCCCTTGGATGTTCCGCTTCTAAGATCAGCTTTGATGAGAAGAAAGAACACCCACGGCACTCTAATGCAGGGAGACAGGATTATTAAAAGTGGGGGCTGTAGGACACAGCAGCCTCAAGTCTGAGGACTTAATTCCCTTTGTGATTTTATTGATCACTGTCTTACATAAGAGAAGTGTGGCAATGGGATGCATGGGATTTCCAATTATGAGGCCACACACTCCCCTTAGAGAATTGAGTCTGTTGGGTCACCCAGTGATGATTTCTGCCCCTCTTCCTCCATTAAAAAAAAAAATGTCATTTCCCAAGGCTGATAAACACTGCTTGGTGATTGGTCCTCAATGGATCACTTTTTAGAAAATGAAATGTCAGCCCCTTGCCCTCATATTGATTCTTCCTTAGTGCCGGCCGTAAAGCTGTCAGGAGAAGCGCTGCCTGGAGCCAGGTAGTTGACAGGCCCGCGTGGAGAATGCTCGCTCAGCTGATTCTCCTCCCCATGCAGGCCGTCCGCTCTGTTATCTGGGACAGCTACATGTGTTAAACTACGACAACAACAGGTGAGCAGAGAGGAGACAGGGACCGCAGACCAAAGAGTCAGGCCCAGGGTTTTAGCTAGAGTATAAATGACAGGTAGAAGTCACACCCCAAAGTAGTCCTGGCCAGCAGTGTGAGAAAGCCCCAGACTGAGCATCTGAGCCCATCCAGGTTCTTTGCCTGTCACTCACTGCCGCTTGCTTCTGAAAGCCACAGAACATTGATGTCAGAAAGGATCATTCTAGAAACCAGGCATGACGTCATCCGGCACTGGGGAAGCTGAGGAAAGAGGTATGAGCTAGCCTGTGCCCATAGTGAAGTAGAGGTGTGGACTAGCCTGTGCCCATAGTGAAGTAGAGGTGTGGACTAGCCTGTGCCCATAGTGAAGTAGAGGTGTGGACTAGCCTGTGTCCATAGTGAAGTAGAGGTGTGGGCTAGCGTGTGTCCATAGTGAAGTAGAGGTGTGGACTAGCGTGTGCCCATAGTGAAGTAGAGGTGTGGACTAGCCTGTATCCATAGTGAAGTAGAGATGTGGACTAGCCTGTGCCCATAGTGAAGTAGAGGTGTGGACTAGCGTGTGTCCATAGTGAAGTACAGGTGTGGACTAGCCTGTGCCCATAGTAAAGTAGAGGTGTGGACTAGCCTGTGCCCATAGTGAAGTAGAGGTGTGGACTAGCCTGTGCCCATAGTGAAGTAGAGGTGTGGGCTAGCCTGTGCCCATAGTGAAGTAGAGGTGTGGGCTAGCCTGTGCCCATAGTGAAGTAGAGGTGTGGGCTAGCCTGTGCCCATAGTGAAGTAGAGCCCCTGTGAGCTGAGCTGAATCGCACAGGTGCTGTGTTGTTGGTGTGTGAGTGTGAGGTCTCTAAAGATGTAGACAGAAAAGGACTCACAGAGGGAGACAAAGACCCGAGAGCTTCTGAGGTCACCAAGAGAAAACCTGTTTCTTGCTAATTTGTTATTTAAGGAGAAACTGCCTCAGGCCCACAGTTGGCATGTCGCTAGATTTTAAAGTAGTGACAGTGTTTATTTATTTTATTGTATCCACTTAATTTGTGCTGAAAAGTCTGAACTTGAGGTAAGCAGGATCAGCTCCAGCTTCTATCAGAACGGTGTTTTCTTCCTTCCTTCCTTCTTCCCTTCCGCCATCCTTCCTTCCCTCCTTCCTTTTCTCCTTCCTCCCTCCTACCTTTCTTCCTTCCTCCTGCCTTTCTCTCTTGGCCAAGTTGAATGTGTAAGCATTTAGGAATTTCTGTCAATGAGTGAAATTACTGCATTTATAGATTTTATTTAAGTATTCAACATGTGGTCAACATTAAACACTGTCCAGCCGTGCAAAGGATATTGACTGAGATATATTTTTACAACCCACATAATGTCAAGTAAATAAATTATTTTTTTAATTTTATTTATTTATTTATTTTTGAGGCAGGGTTTCTCTGTAGCTTTGTATCCTGTCCTGGAGCTAGCTCTTGTAGATCAGGCTGGCCTCGAACTCATAGAGATCCACCTGCCTCTGCCTGCCAAGTGCTGGGATTAAAGGCGTGCACCACCACCGCCCGGAAAATAAATGAATTGACTTTTAAATTTTTCCCGTTTTTATTTATTGTGTATGTTTATGTGTGTGAAGGTCAGAAGACAAGTTGCAAAAGTCTGCTGTCTTCTCCCATGTCGGTTCTGGGGATCGGACTCAGGTGACTGGGCTTGGCAGCAGATGCCTTTACCCAGTACCCTGGCTGGACAGCCTCTGACTTACACTTATGGCCTTGGAGATCTGTGCTTGGGTTGTCATTTCGGGAGAGTATCGGTTTTCCGGACCACCTGACCATCTTGCTTTGCTATGAATGAGACACCGGAAATTGTCCTGAGAGCTTTATCCCAAGCTATACACGTGCATTTTCTGAAGAGCAAAGCACCATTTCCCAATTTACATGTTTGTGTTTTTATTGGTCCCTAGTTTAACCACTTTCTTTGCTGCGTTTTAAGCTTCTCTTTCAAAGGACTGTTGATAGTTGTGTCATTAAATGCAATTTGAAACCCAGGCCCCCCCAGAGTAATGATGGGTTCTGTATTAAATTTCTCTGACAACCCCTTCCCCTGTGATAACAACGATTTTCTCAGTTCACCTTTGAAATCACCCACACTGAATGAATTCAGATTGTTTTAGACTACTCTTTTTCTCTGACAATTATTTATTTCTTTAGCATGTGTGTGTGTATGTATGTATGTATGTATGTATGTGTGTGTGTGCGCACATGTATGCCACAGCACTTATGAGCAGGTCAAAGGATAACTTGCAAGAATTGATCTTATTCTCATACCACAAAAGTATCAAAAATCAAACTCAGATCCCCAGGCTTGGTAGCCAGTGCCCTTACCCACTGAGTCATCGTGCTGGCCCTCAGTAATGTTTTATTGTTCAAATGTGTGAAACAGTATTAAGAGAGTGACTGAAATACGCGACAAGTCCTTGGGTTCAAAGACTCTTTGGTTAAGACACAGCATGACTTGATGGCCAAATGCTTGTTCTTCTCAGGATGTCCTAACATTGAGAGCCACTGCTACTGGCTTTCCATTCCTGTAAGCATTATAAAATGGCCCTTTAACCAGATTACAAACAACCAAATCGATTTTAAAGAAAACAATTTAGCATCTGCCGAAAGATATTTGGTGTGTTTATCAGGTTCTGTGAATCAACCTGTGATCTCTGAATGCACGAACCAAGTTCAGAGTGAGTTTGTCTTCTACCCAAGGTTAACATGGTCCACTTTGAGAGCTCTACCTGTGTCTGCCTTTCCTATGCGCTTCTCTGGAATGTTATGCTCCCAGAGAAATGAATACACTTCAGTGTTTGCCCAGCTAGGCTGCCATGACGTCATGTATAGTCCCACAATTCGCAGGCTAATGATCCCGCGAAAAACATTTCTAATAAGCAACGTGCAAGCAATCCCACAAGTTCAATTCCAGCTCTATCAAAATGCGCTGGGGAGGAGCCAGCTGATGATGTTCCCAGTTGATGTGGGAACAGTGGCGGCCTGAGGACGGGGAAGAAGGATGCTGGCTAGGAATCTCTGGCAAGGGTCTCTACAGGAGCCGTGTTCCTCATTGCTGCTTCGTCTCTAATCTGCACGAGTGAATAAATTACCTACCTTTTACTAATTAACTTTGGAACAGGGAACCACATCCATCAAACCTGTCCACTTGACGGGAAAAGTTAGTATTTTGATAAAAGCAAGGTTTATGGGAGGCCCCTGCCACACTCCTGTCCTCTTATTTATTTTATTGAGTGCCCAGGGTACGTCGGTGGGGCAGTTTCCTGCTGTTCCCTCTGGGGATGGTTAATGCCCTTATTAGTCAGTCCCCGGGACTTCAGGGAGGATTGCATTCACTCAAAAGCTTCACCTGCAGTGTGGGGCCCTTTGCCAGGACGCCTTCCGTGGCAAGGTTCCATGTTTCCTTCTGGACCATTCTCAGAAAGCACTCTACTACTTCCCCCTTGCTAATCGCCTTGTCCACATCTTTGTAATTAGAAAAAAATCTCTCACAAAGCCTTGCTTCTGCCATTCAGGTGATCTGTCTGGGATGTCAATTTAGACTTAGCCCCTCAGGAGGGCTCACCCAAAGTAAGCTTCAATGGTCTTTCTTTCCCCGGATAATAATGAGCCACATTGTCCTACTCTGAGCCCAGGGGAAAGGGTCAGAGGTGACTGAGGTGGGACAGAACTTAGGCATTTTTGTTTTCAAGGTATTATTAGAGCGTTAATAGGCTGCAATTAGCCTTTGAACAGTAATCCTCGTGTTTCTTTCTCAATATCCCCTGTACCCTTGTACAGTCCTCTACTCCAAATGACACACCGTGTTAGAAAGATCTTTCAGTGCGCACCTTCGCGCTCATTTAATGGCAAGCCTGAGGAAGGAATGGGAGGGCCCGCCTTATCACTAATGACCTCTGTCATTTTGTATTTCCTCTGGCTTTGTCCACTGTTAATGAATGTGCTTGATGTGAGAACAGTCATGCTTCATGGTTCTTTGAGGCCACTGGTTCTCTGTCGTAGGTATCCATTGTTTTGTTTTGTTTTTTAAGCCAACTCTTTAATTTCAACTGGATGCCTGAGCTCGAGGGTATGACTCAAGGGCAGAATGTGTTTCTAGCTTGCGCCTGATTCCGTGTTGGGCCTCCAGAAGGTAAATAAAGGAGGGCCTGGACTAAAGCTTTCTTCTATGTATTTTTCCCTCTTAATGTCACTATTGGAGTTCTAAAATGGTCTAAAAGCTGGTCCTTTGCTTTCAGATAAGGCCTTTAGAGCTCTGATAAGATAGCCTATCCCCAAGGTCTTAGTCCTGGTGATTTCTTGACTCAAAATGTTGTTTTTGTAGTCTCTGCCCTAAAGCCCTTCTACCAGCCTTAAAAGAGAGACAAAGGACAGGGGAGGGGGCAGGGTAGAAGGTGCTCCACGTCCCACAGAAAGTTCTTCCTGTTCACCTTGTTGAATCTATTTGTTAAGCTTTTGATGAAGCCATAGCTTTCTAAGAGCAGTAGGATGTGGTTTGTGGATTTGCAGATACAATACGCACCATTAGGGCTGGAGAGAGAGCTCTGCTCTGTCAGTTGGTCAGCTGCTTACTTTGCAAGCACAAGGACCCTCGTTCAACCCTTAGAACCCATGTAGCACCAAATGAAAGACAACATGGCAATATGTATGCTGGTACTTCAGTTTGAGGGGGCAGGGACAAGGTAGACAGGTAGAAAGCCCCAGGCCATAAAAAGAGACTTTATCTCAGAAAGTAGATAGTAGCTGAAGAATAGTACCAAAGGTTGTAGTCTGGCGTCAACACAAATTTGTGCGTGTATACACACACACACACACACACACACAATCAATCACTACCTTTAAATGTACTATTAAGTCTTGTCATTTATCTTGTAACTTCATCTCCTCTAGGAGAAGCACTGTGCCAGTCTGGGCTAGACCATGGCACCTATCAAATCCTTGCACTTGCCAAGAGGGGATGTGAGTGATTTACTCGAAGCCCCTGGTTCTGAGTCCTCCTCTGTACCAGGTCCTCATCTGTACAATGGAACTGAACATGTGGTTTCCACCTGATTCCTTTCATAGGCTTGTTGTGAACAAGCAATTAAGTAATAGACCCTTTGAAGGACCCTTTGGAAAGCTAACTGCAAAGGAAAACACAGGCTGTTATTTGGTACTGAAATATGCACTTTGCAGTTAACGGCGGTAACTAGGGTCTCTGTTTTGTTAAGCTGGCTTGTGCTTTGCAAACAGTTAGGGGAGGAGATAATGTATGTAATGAGACGACTTTGAAAACTTAAATGCAATGTAAGAGCACAAGGTATCATTATTTGCGAGGGAATTAGCCACGTAGAGGAACATCTGTGGGCTCCGAGGGTCTGATTGCTGAGCTGGTGCCTGCGGAGCTGACAAATGAGAGGCTGTGGGAGGAAACTTTGCGCATGTGCCCAGGGCTCTGCTGCCAGAGGTGGGCTGTCTGCCCGCTTGCTCTGCTTAGCGCCTTTGGTTTCTCTGTATTTTCTCTTCTGGGGTGTTAGTTAGCCTGCCTTTCTGCCTATTGGAACACAAACACAGTGGCTTTAGTGAGCCTTACCTCGCCTTTGAAACTCAAAACAATGATGAATTTCATTGGAAGTTTTACATTATGACAGAGTCATACATCAACACGTTTTATTCCCAAAGTGAAGAGATCTGTAATAATCAAATGAGTTGATTTTCTAATTGTTTTATTTTAGGTGATATAACTTTTCCTCATTCTACATAATATATATTTAAGGGCCAGGAATATAGTTCAGTATAGAATGCTGGCCCAGCCTGTGCAAGGCCGTGGGTTCCATTCCCGGAACCACACACATGGTCACGAAATTACACACGCATATATTTGTGTGTATGTATTTGTTTATATATTTAAGATTTTTTAGTTTTCGAGTCTCGAGTTGATTTTCCAGTTTGTATAAGTAATTCATATTTTCCTGACTCAAGATTTATATGTATTAAAGATTTATATTTTCTAAAGCTTTATAAAAACAAAAACAGCAACAAATCTTAACTCCAACAGGACATGGGCAGACAGTATGCAAACTCTGAGACTGGGTACCTTCTATTAGAAGAGAATTATACAGACCTAGTGGTCTACAAAATCTATTGAAATATAGTTAAGTACAAAGCAAACATTTGCTTCCTAGAATGTCACTTGTATCTTGGGTATATTAGTATGCTATAGAGTGTATCCCTCCCCCTAATCCCCAGATGTGGACCTAACCTAGGGCCTTGCTCTTGGTAAGAGCTCTACCACTGAGCTAAATCCCCAACCACTGAAACCTAATGTGATAATGAGGTGTTACGATATTATCGTGATTATAGCAACAGGATGTGTTGTTCATTACCTATCACACGTTAAACATTACTGCCATTTCACTGACGAGACTTAATTAAGAATAATATGTATGCAGGGCCAGCAAGGTGGCTCAGAATGAAAAGGCAGCTTGAGTTCTATCCCTAAAACCCACAAGCCATGGGATGGTGGAATGAAGGAACCAACTCTCCAATGTCCTTTGACTGCCCATCCATGTTTCCACACACACAGAGGTCATAGATAGATAAATAGATAGATAGATAGATAGATAGATAGATAGATACAGAGATAGATACAGAGATAGATACAGAGATAGATACAGAGATAGATACAGAAACATAGATAGATAGATAGATAGATAGATAGATAGATAGATAATAGGGTTATATAGGAAAAAGTAGCCAATCAGATATTCTGAGCTCTGGTGGCTTAAGTTTGTAAATCCGACTCAACATGAGGTAACATTCTCTCATTTGCCTCTCCAAAGCCTCAGTTTTCCTATGTGTGAAATGTGCACTGCCTATCTGTTGAGAGGAGTGGCAGGCCTGGCGTCCCAGCTCCCGGCCACCGGCTAGCTTTACCTGAAATAATTACACGGAAACTGTATTCTTTTAAACACTGCCTGGCCCATTAGCTCCAGCCTCTTATTGGCTAGCTCTTACATATTGATCTAAGCCATTTCTAATAATCTGTGTAGCCCACGAGTTGGCTTACCAGGAAAGATCTTAACCTGTGGCTGTGTTGGGTGGGAGAATCATGGTGACTCCTTGACTCAGCTTCTTTCTCCCAGCATTCTGTTCTGTTTTCTCCACCCACCTAAGGGTTGGCCTATCAAATGGGCCTAGGCAGTTTCTTTATTAATTAACCAATGAAAGCAACAGATTAGAAAGAAATCACTCCCACATCACCTATCGACCCGACTTCTGTTGTGGTCGGGAAGAATTTGCTTACAGCTTTTTTGTTGCAAGTTTCATGTTGGAAATGATTTTCTTTTTTTAAATTTTAAATAGACGGAGTAAGTACAGCAAAGCAAAACAAGAAGCAGACGAAGAGAAACATTTGAATCAAGGTATAGAATTGGTTCCAAAAGTAATATCATTTTTTAGAGCATGCTTTGTGTCTTCTAACTTAGAAATGTTGGTTAATGTGTCTATTAATATTTGTACAATATATGCCTTATCCAAATAACATTCTTCAAGGTTGTCAAAGTGTAACTGATGTTTCTAGACTATGCCAAGTGAGGTTAAAGGCAGGAAGTTCTTTAGTGTCTGCTTATTGTATCCTCTGCTCTGCAAAAGCATTCGTCTAGCTGGCTCATTTTTGCAGCTGGGCAGCAAGAAGTAATGGATAGGGTTTTTTTTTTTTTTGATTTTTTTTGTTTGTTTGTTTGTTTCTTGTTTTTCAAGACAGGGTTACTCTTGTAGCCTTGGCTGTCCTGGTACTAGCTCTGTAGAACAGGCTGGCCTTGAATTTCCAGAGATCCACTTGCTGGGATTAAAGGTGTGCACCACCATCAGTGACCAGGCTAGGTAATTATTGTCATAAGCAAAACAATTTGGGTATGGGATTGATAAAAGAATAAGAGGTTCTGTAATGGTAGTAGGTGATGCTGGGATGACAGCCATCAAAAATGTGTTAGTGGACTCTAGATGTTGCTGTTACAGATGGGCTCAAATGAGTCAGCTCAAAGAAATTGATTTAATGTGCTGGAGAGATGGCTCAGAGGTTAAGAGCATTGCCTGCTCTTCCAAAGGTCCTGAGTTCGATTCCCAGCAACCACATGGTGGCTTACAACCATCTGTAATGAGGTCTGGTGCCCGCTTCTGGCCTGCAGGCATACACACATACAGAATATTATATACATAATAAATAAATAAATAAAAAAAAAGAAATTGATTTAAGTAGTTGAAAACACTTAAAAGAAGCCCGATGACCCAGCATTATTTTTTGAGATGACAAGATACTGCTATGTGAAAAGAACTCCAACCTATTCAGTTATTCGTAAAGACCAAGGAAGAGAAAAGGAGAAAGATGGACAAGTTAGGAAAGTCACGGAGATTTGGTCGGCTGGCATCACACATAAAGTCCCCAGTGCAGAGGCAGGTAGAAAACTGTCGGTAATGGCATGTCACCAGCTCCCTCCGAGCTCACATCTCAACTTGTTTGCGAGCGCGGCACGTGGGTGCTTATATTCAGAGAAGTCAGACATTTGGCTAGAAGATAGCATTACCTCCCGCTGAACCTCCTCTCCCAAACAGAATGCAAGTGGAGGTGCATTTAGACTCCTTGCTCTCAAGTCAGCCAGAGGCCAGTATTCCTCCTGTGTACACTAATCTAGTCTTCATAGTAGCCTGTTTAGTTTTGGTCATGTATTTTATTTGGTCTAGATATGGGGGAGAAGTGACACCCTATAGACAGGGCCTGTGGAATGGGAGAGCACCTGTTGTCTTCAATAAGAGACAGTACTTGAAATGAGGGGTAAGACTTTAGTGTTAGGACGATTGGAGCTAGGAGCCATTGGCTGCGAGAAAGTGTTCAGCCAACTCATCCTGAATTTCCTGATGAGAGATTCGCTTTTCCTCCAGGGATGAGTTGTCTTTAAACTCTTAGCCTTGAAGTGTGAGTCCATTCCAGGAAGACAGTAGAACTGCATGCAGTGTCTTAAGCAGCTAGCAAATTCTTTGTTTACCCACTAATGGAAACCAGAGCAAGAATTTAAACATTTTCATATGTCAACGGCCATATAGCTAACCCAACTGTTCCAATGTGAAGGGTTGGTTGTTTTGTTTTTGTTTTTAAATAGACCTCGCCCGTTTATGTTTATTCGTGTTTCCTGGGATCCGCCCAGTCACCTTATCCCATGTTCATTCTGTAGGTGTTAGAACTTATGTGGACCCCTTTACATATGAAGACCCCAACCAGGCAGTTCGAGAATTTGCCAAAGAAATCGATGCCTCCTGCATTAAAATCGAAAAAGTCATAGGAGTTGGTAAGTGTCTGAGTGTCTAGCCAATAAGTCAGCTTCCTTTGTGAATGTTAAATAGTTATGTAAATTACGCAATTACATTCGCATGTACGAGTGAGCGTATTGCGCGTCCGTCTATATATGTAAATATTATGCACTGAGATTTCCTCATTCAGAATATGATTGTGATGGTCTGTAAGGAACTCTGGTACAAATTTGTACTTATTTTCATGAAAATGAGCATAGGGATAAACTAAATGAACACATAAGATCTATAGTCAGATTAGTTGAACCAGAATGTTTAAGACTCACTAGGTTTACCTTAAGCTTGAGTTTCCTATGATAAAATGAAGTCTCTAAGAATAGTGCCTAGGCTTTGTGTGTGTGTGTTTGTGGCGGCGTGCGGGGGGGGGGGGTTACTAAATAAAATAACCTTTGGGGCTCACTAGCTAAGTTCCTGATACAATGAAGGTTTTTTCGTTTCTTTCTGGTGCATCTGGAATTCTTCTCCCACAGGTGAATTTGGAGAAGTCTGCAGTGGGCGCCTCAAGGTGCCAGGCAAGAGGGAGATCTGTGTGGCTATCAAGACCCTGAAAGCTGGGTATACTGACAAGCAGAGGAGGGACTTCCTGAGCGAGGCCAGCATCATGGGCCAGTTTGACCACCCAAACATAATCCACCTGGAAGGCGTTGTCACCAAATGTATGTGGGTCATCCCCCCTCTACAAAGCTAAGTCGAGAGTCACAGGGAAATTAAACACACGTTTTCCTTCTAGGGAATTGACAGATGGCACAGGCCCACTGATTACTAATAGGAGGAAATCGGTGCAGTGCAGGACCCGTCATTAATCTTTCAGTCAGCCCTAAATGGTTCTGTGACTGCAGCTGATGCCCCGTCTCCAAGGCAGCTTGCGTGAGATTTGGGGCAAATTAATGCCGCAGAGTTTTGGATACGCTGCACCGTCTTTCAGATCTTTGCTAGACCAAACTGATCATCTCAGGGTAGGCACAAGCAGATGGTAAAGGAAATGAATTTTATATAAAGCAAAACAAAAGCTTGCCACACACACACCTTGTATTGGAAGCTTGGGTTCCAGACGCAGAGAGCGAAACTCGGGAATCTTTATTCTTTGGGTGGGTGGGTGGGGGGGGGGATTCGCTCATCTGCTGGGCCTGATTTATGGCTGTGGCCATTCAGCGCCTCTTCACAGTAACACCTGGTTGGACCCTCCCTAGTTTAGCCCATTAGCGTTCACTGAGCTTGTGAACTACGCTTCAGTTCAAGCTCGACACAGCTCAACAGATGCGTTTTGTGAAGCAAACCCTGTGTACATCTGCACGGCTGGCTAGGACTGGCTTATAAAGTCCCGCACGGAAGAGAGCACCGAAGCAGCGTGTGTTTAAGGTGGCTCTCCTCCAGGAGCCCCGGTTTGTACAAGTCAAGGATCTTGTAAGCCTGGGGCTCTGACCGTGAAGCCAAGGTGTCTCTTCTTTGATTTAAGATGCCTGTGAAAAGCTTGTCAATCAACAAGTGGCAAGGATCCGGATAGCTGCTTCAGTGAGTGAGAAACGGAGAGGGGGTTAGAGTGGGTTACCTTGGAAAATGGAAACGTTTATAGTAAGCCACAAAATACAGTTGCTGGGAAGGAGAAACCAGAAGGTTACTTTGTTTAAAAAAATAAAATGAAAGCAAGCACCTCAAATCGAAGCTGGCATGGGTACCAAGATGATGGTTCAGGAGCTTGTCAATGTGCTTGCTGCCAACCCTGTGGCCTTAGTTCCATCTCAGGAACCCACAGGGCTGGAGGAGAGAGCTTGACTCCTGAAGATTGCCCTCTGACCTTAGGAGAAGTTCTCCATGGCGTACATGCCCCCCCCCCATGACCCTAAACAAATAAATGTAATAAAATGTTTCCTACTAGTTTTTACCATAGTTTCCTGGGACTCCTCTGAAGAAGTTTGAATGGGCAGGGGTGGGGGTTAGGGGAGAAGCTTACATCCCTAAAGGACTAGGTGAAGGTGATATACCAGTACCACATGTCCAGGACCCATGTTGAGAATAACGGACCCGAAGATGAAGCGTTTGCTCTCCCTCCTATCAGAATTCTGCTGGTGGGGGCTTTGGTGGGTTGGTCAGTTTTTTGTTTTGCTCTCCTCGTCTATAAAAATGGAGATAAATAAAACTTGCCTTGCAAGGTTATTTGGGGGGAAAATAAAATATTTAGTGTGGTTTGCTCAGTGGCGAATGAAGCACACACCTCTTTTAAGTGTTCTCGGGTGCTCTCATGGCTGAAGGAGCTCATCGTCCCTCACATAGAGAATTTTTCAAAAGAGGAAATTTGATCCTAGGACGAATAATTTTCTACCTCAGGTGAAGGCTGTAATTAGCATAGAATGGTTCTATTTGCTTTTTAAGATTGGTTTTACAGACAGGATATTTTTTTCTGTTGCCTGTGGCCTTCAAAGCTGCCCAAGCCCCTCACTACTTTAATTAAAAGATAACATTGCCGTTAAATACTTCTGCAGGTCCCTTCTCTAGAAAGGGGGCTCTGTTCAACTCCGGTGTTTTTCCTGCCGCAGACAGTGATTTTCATAGCACCTCTGCCGAAGAGAGAAGAAACGGGATCTTTGTGTTAAAGTCCCACCGCGCCTTTAAAAACCCGCAGCTATTACAGCTGTAACTGTTACAAACGGCTGGGTTCATTTGCATAATGCATTTGTCGCTGAATTAGAATGATTTAAAAATTTCCACCAGAGAAGTTGTTGGGGTCCCCTCCCTTTCTGTTATCCCCCCCTCTCACATCCCTGTCTGTTGTAGGGAAGCAGTTGACTCCATTCCTGAGCAGACCCCAGCTCAATTTAGAAGCCCTTCTGTGGAGGAAGGTATTCTCTTAAAGGTTCTGACGAATGGACGCTTTTAATAAATGGACAGGAGAATACTGGAGTTTGAGAAAGTGGTGGAGAGGGTCGAACTAGGTGAGAGGGCCCAATCAGAATGGGCTTTCATAACCAACCAGTTCCCAGAGAAACTATCTAAATTGCGGGGATCATAAATTCTCCCCCACCCCGCTCTCGGATCTTGTCTGAGAACTCCGGGGAACTAGGGAAATGGAATTAGGTGTTAACACTTGGCTGGGACGGCCACTTTTCCTCATTAGCTGACAAAGTATCTTTTGATTGAGCAGGATGATAGGTGATTTTGTTGTGTCCAAGGACTTGCAGAGGGCAAATTTCCTCGGCAAAGCCCTCACCTCCTTCACACGACCTGAGAAAGTCGCTCCCGAGGACCCTTTCCAGCGAAACCAGAAGCGTTCTTAGCGACCATTCCTCGCTGGAAATCTGAATGTGGCCGTTCTCTAGTTGAAAGTGCTTGCCTCTGAAATAATGCCTTAGGCATGACAGTAAACACACGTGCACGTGTACACGCACGCGCACACACATACAAAGCCAACAGAGTAAATTGGACTTCGTTGAAATTAAAACCTTTGAAAGTTTTGCCTCGGAAGTGAGAGCATCCCGTGCTCCCCTCTCCCGCCCCAAACACTGCCTCTTTTGGTTGAGAGTATACCAGTATAGAATAAGGAGTGCTTTTTTTTTTTTTGGTAGTGAGATATCCCAGCCCATTTTCTGACTAACGCACTAAGTTTAGCCAGCAAGAACAATAAAAGTAAATATTTTCATCAGCTCAGGTTTTATTTTCATCGGAGGGGATCTTTTGCTCTGTATTGTGCCACATGTTCTCTTAGTGGAAAAAAAAATAACAGGGTTGCTGCATTTGCTGACACTCCGCCCCCCACACCCCTGCCAACAGTACCCCTTACAAAGAAGGAATTTCAGACCTGATTCATTGCCTGTGACTAAAAGTAAAGAAAGGTTATTTCCTAAAGTCCCCAGGAGAAGTAAAATAAGACAAAGGTTGGCCCCTGAGTCCCCATAGACCGTCCAACAATTTTGGTCAAATACTCTGAATTCAATCTCCTGTCTCAGATGAAATTATTTGGAGATTTTATTTGTTTATAATTAATTTATTTTTATTAAGAATTTTATACAATACATTTTGACTATATTTGTTCTCCTCCTTCAACTCCTTCCAGATCCTCCCTACCTTCCTACCCAGTCACCTTCATGTTCCTTCTTTCTCTAGGAAAAAACCAAAAAGCTTGAGAATCAAAACTAACTTTGAAAAAAGGACTTGTTTATTTGTTAAGATAAGTTGTTAAAGGAGGCAAAAAGAAGGGATGAGAAAGGACAGAGCCAAGGACGGGAGCAAGAGAAGGGGGCAGAGTTCTAGATGGTGTGTGTTTCAGGTTGAATGTTTGCATAATGGAGTATTCAATGTTACTGCATCCCTACAAAACTTAATTTCTCTAAATAAAGAAGAAGCGTTCTCTGTCCATAGACTTCAGCGTGACACAAGCTGCCCTTCTGGGGATAAAATCAATGAATTATTCTAAAGACTCTCTCTCTCTCTCTCTCTAAAGACTCTCTCTCTCTCTCTCTCTCTCTCTCTCTCTCACACACACACACACACACACACACACACACATTCCAACATGCCTGCCCATTTATCATTTTCATCTGTTGTTTAAGAGGGCAATTATCCATGCATGTGATCCCTGGGTACCAGAGGCCACTTTCGTTAAGGACCCTGTCAACAAGCCATCCGAAGGGTTAACCTTCCAGATGGAGTCTAAGCCTACTTGTCCTTTGAATATTTCATTCCTCGCTTCCCACAGCTGAGGCATAAGCTTGGCTTGTTTTAATTAAATTAGATCGCACAAGACAGGTGTCTTGGCAGTAAAATTTTTGCACAGCCCATTTTTATCTCATTAACTGCACGGCTCATCAAGGGCTTTTGTTTTTCTTTTGGAAACTCTAGGTAAACCAGTCATGATCATAACGGAGTACATGGAGAACGGCTCCTTGGATGCGTTTCTCAGGGTACGTGTCTACTTTCTAATGAACCGAGGAATACTAGTATCCCGCAGCTAACAGATTCCCTGTGTACATTCTGTCCCGTTGCATAGGTGGGATTTTTTTCAGTAGGGTTCAGGAAGAGAAGAAATGGAATATGATGTGATTCTTAAGGCTATTGAATAATCCATGGGCAATGAGGGTGGTATTTGATTTATTCTCACACCGTGGAGCTCTTTGAGCCATAGATTCATTATACTTGGACAATTTCCATCTATCACAGGAAGTCGGCCCCGCTCTGCTCGTGAATTAGTGACTTTGCTCAGAAGGGCCCGGAAATAATGCCGAGTTTCATTGCGTGCTGGATACAGATACTCCAAGAGAACGCAGTAATAAATGCTTGGTGATAATTGATTTGGCCTGATGCTAATGGAGTTGTTCCCTCTCTCTCTCTCTCTTCCTATGAAGAAGAACGACGGCCGATTTACAGTCATTCAGCTGGTGGGCATGCTCCGTGGCATTGGGTCTGGAATGAAGTATTTATCTGATATGAGCTATGTGCATCGAGACCTGGCTGCCAGGAACATCCTAGTAAACAGCAACTTGGTCTGCAAGGTGTCTGATTTTGGCATGTCCAGGGTGCTGGAGGACGATCCCGAGGCGGCCTATACTACCAGGGTAAGGACCGTTTGCTACCTCTGGCATGGCGTCCGCACAGATGAAACTGATCCCTTCCTTGTCGTTGCAATGTTGTTAGAAGTCTTCGCAATTCTTGTTTTCTTCTTCAAGTTTGCTTATCCTTCAGGCCTCTCCATATTTCTGTATGCATTTTTAAACCTCCTTTAGAACAGGAGGCCATCTGAGGCCCACTCTAGCACAAAGCTATTGTAGAGCCACAAGTTACGAGCAAAATGAATTCTCTGTCTCCTAAATTTTCTTGGGCAAAGTGTTTATGAACAACAAGAGAGTGTCTTTAAAACTGAGCCAAATCAGAAGCCACTATCAAAGGCAATTTACTCCACAAATGATACATTATTATGAAAATCAGCAGGTTGGATGACTTATTGTGTATGGATGCATGTATATACCGTGTGCCAAATATATATCCCTGCAACGCTAAAGTTTTTATTTTTCTGCTTTTTTCTTCTGTACTCCTTTTCCTGCCTGAGCTCTGCTACTTGGTTCTTTTCTGTTCTGCGGGGGCGAAGTTTCCTGCCTCTAGATAAGCTTTAGCAATATTTCTACTTGAATATTTCTAATGAATTTGGGAATGGATGTATAGAATTTATAGAGCATGTCCCAATATTTAATGGCTTTCAGTTTAGTACCAATAGAAAATCAGGGATTAGGATCCAGTGAGGCGTGCTCAGGGTAGGGTCAGGATGTGTGCTACCTTAGCCTCATGATCAGAAGCTACCATTCTGCAGGAATAAACACACGGTCCTCAAATAATTCCGACATTCATGCAGATCCTCTTCTGGCTTCCGATAACATCTTTGGTGAGCTCAGGAGATCTGCTATTGTTGTCGTCAATCTTGGAAGAGAAGAAAAGTTATAGAGGCTTCTAGAAAGATATATGTACATAGATCCCTCAGCAAAATGTTTAAGGAAAGCATTTGTGTCCATCTGTAGATAAGGTGTATGAACACAGTATATGGGGTTTGCACAGTGACCCACACAGCAGGAAAGCAATGCAGGCAAATTTATTATCTGATGAATAAGCCCTAATAAAGCCGAGACAATCTTAAATAATGGTTGCTGCAGCCATGTGTGGATCTATGTCCAAGTTCCTTCCTCCAGATAGAACCTCAGGAAGTTTGAAACTCAACTAAAAGTATATATACTTTTTACACTTGAAAGTAATCAAGAAGCATTTGAGGGTGCTTAGTGTAGCTTTTGCTTTTTTTTTTTTTTTTGAAAACATCTTATTTTTTTCTGGTTAATTTGATTTTTTTTCATTTTAAGTAATTTAATTAAATAATAGTCTTCACTTCATGGAAAAAATACTTTTTTGAAGGTCCTACTGCCTTTTCTATGTATTGAGTATGTTTGTCATGCTACAGAAGACTAGGGAGACAGTGTGGTGGGTAAAAATGCCCAAACTTGGCTTCCTTTGTTCATTGTTTCTGATGCAGTGTTAAGCACTCCCTTTACAAGGGTGAAGGAGAGAATGCAGGAAGGAGGAAAACCAAATGTAAGCCGCATATCCTTTGATAGGCTCCAAATAACATATGTATTTATGTAAAACCTGAGATTTCCTTTCTAGAATATTGCCCTAAGCAACACTCAGAGAATAATTAGACAGATCACTCGTTCACTTCCCTGTGGTTAACGAACACATATGAGAATTGCCTCAACCTGGAAGACTTTACTCAAACAAGTCTGTTATTACCGAAAGTACCTCAGGAATGCTGTTGTCTCGCTTGCTTGAGTCACAGCACTCAGAAACAAAAGTGGCTGGCACATCACTGGGAAAGTTAGGAAATAACCCACAGCTGGAATCTTCACAGGGTGGCAAGATTCCTATCCGGTGGACTGCACCAGAAGCAATTGCCTATCGTAAATTCACGTCGGCCAGTGACGTATGGAGCTACGGAATCGTTATGTGGGAAGTGATGTCGTATGGAGAGAGACCATACTGGGATATGTCCAATCAAGATGTAAGTTTTACCCTGAGATTCAGGAAGTTCTATATTACCATATGATCAAGTAAGCATTGGGTTTGAAATGATATCATTAAAGTTCTTATTATAAATAAATATACCCTGTGACCTCATTCCACATTTTAACCAACAATAACTTGATTTCAAGACCAAAATTAAATTGTTTCCATGGCTTAGTGGAGGAGAAGAAAGAGATCCGTGGATCTGTAGAAAAACAAAGCAAAGAGTGTGAGGAAACACATTTCACATGTGGTAAATTTGACACAAAAGTTTTGTTGAGAGAAATCTAGAGAATATTTTAAAGCTGGCAGAGTTGTAATTAGACCTTGGCCCTCAAGGACTCTTAAATAAAGCTTCGCTAAATGACCCTCTGTAAGTTATGCACGTCCCTTTAAATGTACCATCTGGACTAGTTCGTAAGGGAGCATCTACGATGCATGCAATTTCAGAGACACAGTCAATAATGACACTAATAAGATTCCAGGCTAATAGAATTTAATTACAGACATCTCCAGTGAGAAAGGAAAAAACAAATGCAAAACACAGAGAGTCCCAGATCAGGGATTTCCTAGAACATGTTTTAGTTAATTCCGGAAAAATTGGGGACACTGGAGGTGAAGGGTCCCCCGCACCCGTATCTTCCCAACTTTTCTAATACTTATTCGTGGTAGGACATTATAGAAGACTGTTTACAGTATAGTGCCTGGTTAATCAATTACAATGATACTTTGGGAGTGTCATGCTCTGAGCTAGCTGAGCACTTTAAATTCCATTTTGGAAAGCTTTCCTTGTAAATGTTGATTTTGATGTGGGATGCTGCCTGTTCCAGATGCCTTGCCTACCTAACTCAACAGGAAACCAGAAATCCTTGACAGAGACTCCCAAATAGAATGCAGCTTTCTAAGAACACAAGAGTGGTTGGAGCAATGGGGAAGCCATGACTTCACATCTAAGTGCCTCTGTTGGTTGGTGGTGGGGGCGTGGTTTTCCTCAGTGTGTCTATCCGGTTTAAAGAAGACTTGCACCATTCATAAGAGAAGAGCCACAGTGGACGGGATGAGAGACAACAGCTAGCATGAGTGATAACCAATTGCAAGATGGACAGGGTTGGTGGTGAGGGCCAAGTAGTCCATTGTTGGAAGGGATTATAGCTTTTAGGTTTCTTCAAGTATTCTCTTTGAGCAATGTTTGGTTTCAGTCGCTCAGAGAGACAGGTACCCTCAATGAGCATGGCATGCATGCACTCACACATTGAGCTATTTGACATTAAGCTTCCTTGATAAACAAGAGAGTCCTAGGTAAATGAGGGTCTACTAATGAGAACAATATTCCTGCCCTACCTATTCTCACACTTAATTGTTTTGACAGTTTCTGTATTTCTGCAAAGCAATTTGACTGGTCTATGCTTTTTATTTGGGTAACTTTGAGGCCATTTCTTGCTCACAAATAATATTGCTATATCATTTGTATGTGTTTGTCTCTCTGGATTTGGGGCCAGTAGAAATCATCAGGAAATGTAAGTGATGTCATGGGGTGTATGGCAAATGAACGGGAAAAATACACCAAAATTAGTAATTTTTTTTTAAAAAATGTATCTTTTCTCCCCCACCCGAAAGACTCAGTAGAGTGCTGAAGAACTTGCTTTATTAACCTAAGAGCTGTCTTCCTAGCTGGCCAGGGTAGCAAGCCTTCGAGAGAGTATTCATCACTGAGTTCTCTAGACAGCGGCCCAGTGCTGTTTGCCTTCTTTCTCATCAATGGAGAAGGCTTTCATCAACTCCAAAGTCAATACCATGTACTTGGAAAGATAAAAGAATAAAAGGTTCAGACTGACCTAATATGCTTGGCAAAATTAAATATAATGAAGGCACACAAATCAGAGTCCTCTACCTTAGAAGAAACAGATAATTCTGATACAAGGAGATATAGAAAAACGCTTGGGAGGTGCTTTTCCATCAAAGGATGCCTGCTAGATTGAAGCAGGGTTCTAAGGAAGAAGATAGCAGTTAAATTTGTGACGAGAATCTAGGGCTACTCGAATTGACTATTTCCGGATGCGGGCCAGTTTCTCAGCAGTCAGTAGCCTCTTGTGGGATAAATCCAGCATAGGTACGAGATGGCTGTGGCACTTTGTCTTTCTGGCAGCAGTCATTTGGGTAGGCACAAAGAAAAACCAACAAATAAAAGAAGTGCTTCCTGTATCTGAAGCTGCCCACGATTAAGTCTTATGAGTGAGAAACAGTACGAAGTAGTTCTTGGAATTTGTCAAATCACCAATGCAGGAGTCACGTCACAATGGGGAAGGGATTCAGGGGAAGGCCAAGGAGACTGAGCCAAACGTGGTGGCCGAGGCAGGAGAATGGAGAGTGGGAGGGTAGCCTACTGAACTATATTGTTAGAGCCTGTCCCTAAAAGCGGGGGGAGGGGGATCATGAAAGAGAGAGAAGTAACGAAGTAACGAGCGGTCTGTGCTGACGCATTAGAAGGGCCACACTAACACGATGTCGACTGATTCCTGTATCTAATTAAGCAGGTAGACAAACCACTTCAGATGACCTTGAGCAATATGAAAATGGGCAACCACCATTGAAACTTTCTTTTATGTACAAGGATTCCCCCCTTAAAATATGAATGTTTTAGTTTTAGCTGGGCGATGGTAGCACACACCTTCAGTTCCAGCATCGAAGCAGAAGCAGGCGGATCTCAGAGTTCAAAGTTAGTCTGGTCTACGTGGTGACCCCCAAGAAAGTCAGGGCTACACAGAGACCCAGCCTCAAAAAAAACCCCCAAAAGTATTAATTGATTGATTAATTTTTTTTTAATGAATTGCCTTACTAGCACTTTGAATAGAGTGAAATCAGCATCAGACTGTGGCCAAGACAGAGACTGAGGTGACATCTAAGGGTGTCGTGATCTCCTAAGGGAAAATGGGTAGCGATCTGGAAGTGGGCACTGATGCTGATCGAGTAGCTACTGAATGAGGGTACACAGTGATGCCTGGGGAATTTCAATTTGGAATGACTTCCTAAAGAATGCCTGCGGTGGCCCCGGTGGATCTCCCCGGGGTGTGTAGGTGTGCTGGCGCTGAAGAGTGGAGTACAGGCAGGACTCTGCCATGCCAGAGGGGCTGTTGCCAAAGCCCTGACACCACGCTGTGATCTAATCGGGCTCTAACCACTTTGGAATATCAATGCGTCTTTAGTTCAAGTTTCAGATTGGCATCACGTTCCATTGAACAGCTGGCTTTTCTCTCCCCCGTCGCCAGCAATACCTGGCATTGGCTTCTGCGAAGGAGTTGGAGCTGCGCCCACGCTTAAGCCTCTGACAGCTTACCACATCATCCTGTTGTCTTCTCTAGGTGATTAAAGCCATCGAGGAAGGCTACCGGCTGCCCCCACCAATGGACTGCCCCATTGCCCTCCATCAGTTAATGCTGGACTGCTGGCAGAAAGAGAGGAGCGACAGGCCTAAATTCGGGCAGATTGTCAACATGCTGGACAAACTCATCCGCAATCCCAACAGCTTGAAGAGGACCGGGCCAGAGAGCTCCAGGTTTGCCACATTTACTAATAGTGATGTATGAGGGACTCCATCCTATGTGGCAGGCCAGTCGGGTGTATCCTAATTCCTGCCTTCGCCAATTCACAAGCCACTTCCAAGCTCTGCAGCCTGGATCATGCCTTCCTCAGTCACTTTGAGTCTGAAGAGCCTGTAGGTCTATGAAAAATATGAAGGTCCCGAGGCCATTGTTCACCAGCAGGCTTTCTTGAGAGAAGAAGTTTTCCTGTCAGCAGGTTCAGTAGTAGACGCCAGACTCATCTGCTTTAGATAGAAAGGCTTGTTGATTAGATTGTTGAGTCAAAGACTCGAGTCTGCCTGCATCAGGTGAGGCACCCAGTCGGCTCCAAATCTGAGTTTCTTAAAGATGTCTCTTTTCTTGTGACCCTGACTTAAAAAATAGAGCATCCCTTCCATGTTAGTGTGTCCTAGGCCTTTCTGCTTTTCAGACCTTTGAAGTGCTCTTCAAAGCAGTCCTAAGGTCCTGGAAGGGAAGGAATATATTTGCTATCCCAATTCAGGACAAAGGGACCCTGGAGCAGATAAGAGAGGAAACTTCTAGTCTTGGGGCTTCTAAATGCCTCCCCCTGGCTACACTGGACAAAAAGGGGGGATCATCAAACTCTTGAAATAACACTAAACATGGCTAAAATTCACTTCTTATTTGAGCGGGGACCGCGTATAACTTTTCTAACTGAAGAAAGACAGTTTCTGCCATGTGAAGTTTTCCCCCCATTCTTGGGTTCAAATGCCTCCCAAGCCTTCTTTAGAGATCTAGTCAGTTTCTTCAATTCCCAGGGTGAATTTTCTCCTACCTGGTTAATTTTCAACTGCGTTCTGATTGGAGGGAGAGATGCTTGTTTAAGGCCATTCTTTAGTGTTTGGGACTTAGCATTTAGCAGCCCTTGATAGCCTGAAAATACAAGTAAATACAAATAATAATAAACACAAAACGTTAGTATGTTAATAATGTGGTGATGTTATTAACGCAAAATTGGGAGACTTCGACCTTCATTATTTTTACTGTAAACAAATCCTGCATTTTACTAGGAATCAGACTACTGAAATAACAGATACAAAAGGAAGTTCAGAAAGGCACGTGCTTGAACACAAACAGAGCTGAGTTGAAAAAAGGAGTTTTCTGCTAAAATACTTATGTGAAAGAGAAATAATGCAAATCAAATAATTTTGGTAAAAATGAAAAAAATTTCAAGGAATGGATTAATTCTGTATAAAGAAGTCTAGGCTTTACAATAACTTCCTTTTTTATAATAACATTTTTTTTTCTTGTACCAATCGAGGACATTATACCAACTTAAATGTTGGTGCACGATCACCGTTTCAGGCTAAAATGCTAAACTCAGACACAGACTTTGTACGATTTTGAGGGGAAAGAGAAGTGTAAGAAAGCTGTGATTCTATGTAGGAAAATTACAGTAGAGGGGTTATGAAATGCCTCTGAAGGGCTAGCCTGTGGTCTTTAAGTATTCTGGAGATGACTGCAAGTCTCCTAAAAACTTGCATGGATTAGAGACCCCTTGTGCATCTCTATCAGGAGGAGAGGCAGAATGCCTGCAACCAGTCAGTCTTGACTATTGATCTAATAGTAAACACCTGACTTGAGAATGAATAAATTAATAACTAAGTCGATAAGAAGAGCTTTGACGTTATTGGAATGACTATTGACAGAGGAATCTGAGGAGCACATGCCCCAACCCTAAGAGCAATCAAAGCGCCCTTTCTTTCGGCTGGCCTTGGCACACGTGCTGGTCAGGCATGGCTTGATTAGAGAGCGGATTAACTCCAGCTGTCCCGGGATGGTGGGAATGCACTGCGCATGTCTCCAGACCTCGCTGAGAGCATGCTGGATCTGAACTCTTCTGCTTCCATCAAAGCCTGGCAGCTCGCAAGCTTCCAGTTTTCCTCCCTCATGTTTCACTGTTTCCTGAACTAATTAATGCCTGTGGTATGTGGTCCTGCGGGAAAGTGGATTCTTTTCCAAAGACTGCACAGGGTTGAATCACAAGGGCTCCTGCATCCTCTACCAATTTAGGATGGGCAGAGATCTGCTATGAGATTCAATGTCCAGCGCAGTCCATCTAAAATGAATGCCAAGAAGAAAAGAGAAAAAAAGCACACATTAATTTCGGATGACAGTTATCCCATTTACACCTCTTTGTTTGGCCCTCTGTTTCCCTGGTCTGTCCTATGCAATCTCCTCTCTTTCCATTTATATTTCCTCATTCTACTTTCAGACCCAACACAGCGTTGCTGGATCCCAGCTCCCCTGAATTCTCGGCTGTAGTTTCAGTGGGCGACTGGCTGCAGGCCATCAAAATGGACCGGTATAAGGATAACTTCACAGCCGCGGGGTACACCACGCTAGAAGCCGTGGTTCACATGAACCAGGAGTAAGTACTCAGCGATGTAACACCAAAGGGTAAATCTAGATTTCATAGTATTTTCCTGTTTCGCTTTGAGTTTCATAATCATTCCCTACTCATTCAAAAAAAAAAAAAAGATTGAAAACTGGAATGCCTCTCATTTTGATAGAATATAATTTTACATGACCTCGATTGTACCTGCATTGTTATATTGGATTGCTTAATGGAACATTTGTACACCTTCCTTGTACTGTATTGATTGTGGCTGATTCAAATGTGTGTCTGCATGAAGCCTTGAGAAAGAGGGTCCTGGCACCCCTGTGACTTTTTCTTTCCCTCTGTCTTTGCCCCATCTGCAGCGACCTGGCGAGAATTGGCATCACTGCCCTCACACACCAGAATAAGATTTTAAGCAGCGTCCAGGCGATGAGAACCCAAATGCAGCAGATACACGGCAGGATGGTCCCTGTCTGAGCCAGTACTGAATAGACTCAGAACTCTTGAAATTAGTTTACCTCATCCATGCACTTTAATTGAAGAACTGCACTTTTTTTACTTCGTCTTCGCCCTCTGAAATTAAAGGAAAAAAAAAAATACCTGCAGCGTTGCTTGGTGTATGAGATTGCTGAAACCTTGGGGCTTACGTGAATGGCCTAGATCATCAGATTTAAACCTGGAGCCAGTAATTTCTCAGAAGTACTCTTGTCCATCGCTGGTGTATAAAATACATGTACTTATATAGATAAAACTCTGCCTCCGAGTTCGACGCCCTTTTTTCCCCCATCAGATGCTGGGTTTTCGAAGTCACCTTAATCCTTTCTGTTTGGAATTTCAACCGAAGGATTTTGTCTGTGGCATCAGCCTTTGTCATCACTCCTCGCTGGGGCCCCGGAGCATTGCGGAAGGACTCAAAGGCGGCCATCGGGGCTTGGTTCATACCACAGAATAAAATCCAGGTGACAGCCTCGTGACGCACCCATGTTGCCTCTTCAGTGCCCAGGACACTTGGTGGATTTCTATGACATGGGGGGCTAGAAAGAAAAGGAAAGCGGATTTTTTTCTTTTTCTTTTTTTTAAATGCAAACTCCCAAGCCCTATTACCCCTAACTGGAAAAAGAGGTCTCTTTGGGCCTGAGGCTGTGCCATATAACGTCTTATTTGGGAATGCTACAAACCTTCTGGATAGTGGGCTGTGACAATCCTGAATGGGGAATTTTCATATTCCCCCCCTGCTTTGAAGAGGCAACTCCCAAGTTTACAAGGTAAGTTAAGAGAATGAGCGTTGGCTCTCTAGTAAAAATCGCTCTCCTTCTCTCTTTCTAACTTGTTCCATTTGAAACACTGAAAAGCCTGCCTGTCAGGAGCTGGGTTGGGAGAGATTTCAGTTCTCTTTTGATAAATGAAGATACTGAAACCAATATGGCTGCCCTGTTGTTAGTGATGATTATTAGGAAGTCACAGCTGTTCTAGTCTCACTCACCACTGACATTTTGGTGAATCCCCTTGAGCTAAGTCAGTGGTATGGGGGTTACTGGGTAAGACAGAAAATGCTTCCTTATTTAAGTGACTTTCACCAGATGTTACCAAGGCCCCTAACACTACATCTAATATCCAGATGTTAACAAACGTGCTTGGCCTCTCAGTGAATGGCAGCAAAAGGCAAGGGACCTGTTCATGAGGGAAACACAGCCTCTCTATGTTCTGTTCTAGAGCTTTCTTCATGAAAGCAGTATATTATGTGGATAGATCATTCATTCATAGATGCAAAAGGCCTAACTTTGTGCGAGGAGTTTTAACTATTTCAGTTTTATCACTTTTTAACTGAGAGTTTGGCAAGGTTTAATAACCCCTCCGCCACCCCCCTTTCATTTTTTTTCCTGAAAGCCATTTCTTATAGACTAGAGTGAGGGATGCTGAATTTGATGCTGTCAAATGCTGACAGTTTAGTAAAGATCCGCCTTACAACGTTAGTTGTAAAAAGCTTTTCTCTTCCCAAGAAATATGATTTTTTTTAAGTACTCCAACAATTTTTGCTTTATTATTGTTTTTGCTGAAGTCTGGGATTTCTTGATTTTCCTGCTAAAAGTCGACAAATGTGGGTGGGGTTCTACTTTTTTTTTTTTTCTTTTTTACTTTGACATGCTTTGTTTTACAAATAGAGTTCTGTCGAAGAAAAGCTCTGGAAATCTGGGGGCAGTGTTGATTTTGTTGGTTTGCTATTTTTATTATGTGTGTGCGTGTATGTGTGTGGCCTGTGTCTGGAGGTTAGAGGACAACACATACAAGTCGGTTCTCTGTATGTGGGTATGAAGGATTGAGTTCAGGGCAGGAGGCTTGGCACCAGGCGCTCTTATCCACTGAGCCATCTCACTGGTCCAAGTACATTGTTCTTGATCTCCACCGTCCTATTCCAATACAAAACCAAACATTTTGGCATTCTGCATGAAGTGAAAACAGAATATTACCTTACAGCCAGTACTGAATGATTAAAAGGTTTCCTTTTTTTAAAAAGTCACCAACTTGAGGCTTGACATGTTTTTCTAAACATGGAATGTGTTCAAAGCATAACTTCACTAAGATACCCTAACAAGTGAACAATATTTGTAGTGTTGAAGTCCTTTTTGTTATTTCTTAGCAGGGATCTCTGTCTATGAAATAATATGGAAGGTTACATCATTCAAAGGCCGCCTTCTGAGTCGTAGTTTGTGTTAGAGACAGGGCCAATGGAACGGCCAAAAAGGGATATTCCAAGTGTCTGCAATAATACCCCAGGAACAGTAAAAGTGTTTACTGCCTCCAGAAGTCTTAGCATGAGTTCCATGAGAACAATAAGAGAGCCGTACTGTTTCCCAGGGTGCCGTGCCAGACTCTGGCATCCCGACAGCTATGGAGTCTAAAGCCAACCGAAACGGTGACACTGGAAACTCGCCCTGCTTTGCTTCCTAACTCAGTTCCTCCACCTGTAAATTAGAGAGATAATGATACCTTGGTAATAACAGCTTTCCCGACATGGTGTGCCCTGGAAGAAGTGCCTCTAGCAGAGAGAGAGAGAGAGCTCCCCAGGGGAGGAGGTGCTTTCTCCCACCTCATCCAGGTGACCTGCAATGGTTCAGCACATGGCCCCACTGACCACAACGCATGTCAGGTGCAGAGGACCCGCGTAGTAAATGCCCTTCACTTTGCTTTATAGGAGGCTGGGACAAAATATGGATCAACATGGAAGGCAACACCTGTAGAGATATTTACATGCCCTCTAACAGACTCCGAAGAGAAGCATCTTTGTGTATTGAGCACATTGTGTTCTTAAAACCCTTCATAAGCTACATGCCTTCAGTTCTAAAATTCCCTTTAATGAAGGGACTGCCTGAACACCTACTCTGATGTTAGCCAGATGTCAACTTTCACAGTCCCCTCTCACCTTGGATATCATCTTCACTTGAGCAGGTCCCCACAATGTCTGCTTTGTATTGTGAATACAATTACATAACAGGTCAATGTATTTTCACAATAAGTAAAGAAGTGGGCTAGTGGACAGATGGTGACAGATGTAGCAGAAGAACTGTGCCCGTGCACGGTGCAGCTGTGGTGGAGATTCAAGGTCAAGTTCTCCTTGTCCTTTATATGAGTATATGTGGACCTGATGCAGTCTGTGTATGGTCAGATTTCAAACCCTATGTTTGATAGGCTTATTGCTTCCCGGAAAGGAGGGGTTAGAAAACATGTCAGTTCCTGTTTCTTTTAATTTTCACCCTGTCACTGTTTATGAGACAGGGTCTCACCACATAGGCTGCCAGGCCTGGAACTTCCTAACAGACAAGGTTAGCCTCAGATTCATAGAGATCACCTGCCTCTGCCTCCTGAATGCTGGGATTAAAAGTATGTGCGGCTATGTCCAGCTCGCTCATTCTCTCTCTCTCTCTCTCTCTCTCTCTCTCTCTCTCTCTCTCTAACAGTTTGAATAGACATATGTTGTTGTGCATGCCTCTAATGCAAGCACTCAGGTGGATCTAAGTTCAAGGCCAGCCAGGGTTACATAGTGAGCCCCTGTTTCAAATAATAACAGTATTAGAGTTTGGATAATTATAAACAGTTTGTGTATTGGCAAGTTCCTGTTAGTCCATGTACATATTAATGTACATATTAATGATACTCAGCACGCACTGAGCCTTGTCATTTTCTATGAATCCAAAATGCTGCGTGTTCTGTTTCAGTTTGATATAAGTTGGTTGACTGCTGGCTGGTAACACTGGCTGACGTTTTTGTCTCTTTTCTCTACAGGGAATAGATTCTGCTATCTCAGCCTCACAGCCCTTCCTGTTGATTACAAAGCCCTTGGAAACAAAAAAAAAAAAAAGAACACACCCTCCTTGGTTCTTCTGAACGTTTTTTTTTCCCCCCTTTGGCGTCTCTTCTGCCCGTTTTGAGGCAAAGACACTTGATGAAACAAACACCTGTACCTGGAAAGTGGAAGAAATGATTCAAGTCCCCTTCGCCCAGGAAAGCAGCAACACCAAGCTTCGGCATCTGTTCTCCAGCTGCGTGGAGGAGTGCGCTGTCTCAAGGCATCAGCTCTGCAGAGCCCTTCCAAACCCCTTGTGGTTTTATTTATACGTATTTCCATAATTCATTCCTGTACGTCACTGCTGCATCAGAGTGGCAGCGAGTGACCAAATGTTACAGGTTTTGCTATGGACGCCAGGTCGGGCGCCACCGCGCAGAACAAAGCCAGTCCCGTAAGCTGCCTACGGTATGCATTGCTGACATGACATTTTACCCAGGGCGTGCCATTGCAGTGATATGAATATATTTTTTCCTAGACTAAAATATGACCTGATTATCTCTTTTGATGTGTGTACATAGGTGCGTGTGTGCGTGCGCGCATGTGTGTGTGCATGTGTGTGTGTGTGCGTGTGTGGTGTGTGTGTCCGCGCGTGTGTAACCTCATGCTTCGAACTGCCTGTGAATGTTGTGGAATGCTACACCTGGAGAGTTCTGGTTTATCACCAGTTCAAAGAAAAAAGAGTCACACGATATACACGGCTTGGAGACCACGGCCGTCCCCTTGGGAAGACAGCTTGGAAACGCTACATGGTCTGTATCTGTAAGAGTAACGTAGCTGTCACACTCACCGTAAGAAGCAATTCTATAGCTTTGGACAGATGTGTGTTCACCTCCGCAATGGAATGACTGTTGGATAGAAACCCACCCAAGGTGACAAGCCCGTCACCACAATCGCAGATTCTGATGGGACTCGTCTGACTCTCCAGTTCCACAATGGAGAGAGAAGGGGATGGAATCCATGGATCGACCCCAGATGGAGTACAAGTCGCCTTTGTTTCCCTGCATAAATGAACTTGATGAATGCGAACAAATATATGCAATTCATATACTTTTGGAGATGAACTTAGCGATGTGTGTCAGCCTTGAGATGATGTGTCTGGAGTAATACTTTGTGTCCCCGTGTCACAGAACAATACACACATGCCAGTGGCTCTTGAGGTTAGTGTAGTTGGGATGACATGGCCTCTAGCAATTCCAGGTTCCCCAATTACATGTAGAAAGTTCTCGGGTAATTCATATGCAGCTAACTCCTTTTGCCCTCGAAAGTACATCAGTCTTCTAGAATCTGAGTTCTGGTGTAGATAGAAGATTCAATATCAACAGGATATGGATACCAAACTCCAGCCAGCATACTGCCATTTTACCTAACCTGAGTGGCTGCCTTGCTTATTCTGAGCTGTGGTTGCCAAAACTGTGGCCATTTATATAAGCTATAACATCAAAATCAGGGAAAAACAGGGGAAAAAAGATTCTGAACCATATATTGTTGAATAAGTAGAGAAAATCACCAATAAATATTTATTGCATTCTGACAGGGTGTGTGGCATTGTATTCTCATAACTATGCCAGAGTGACAAAGTCAATTCGCCCCTTTTGGGGGGACCTTAATATATTTTTAAAGGGATGTGCCTATGCATTGATGCCTGAAAAATATGTGTAAAAATAAAAAATGAGGTAGAATCTCCGAGTGGATCATCTTTCCCAGAGGTCGGGTGGAAGGAGAATTTCCGGGTCTGTGTCCAGCCCAGGAGCCAGCACTGGTCTGCTGAGCTGGAAGGCTAAAGTCTACTCAGATCTACTAAGCAGCTTCAAGCTGCTCCCTGCACCAAATCAAGTCGTTTCACCACGTGTCTGCAGGCTCCCATTATTTTGGCAATCTTATAACGAACTAACTGTTCTGGTGTGTCTGAAAGAGTGGAAGAAAGGTTGTGTTCACAACACAACTGATATGTGCTCTGAGACCTCTTGTATTCATCTGGGAAGGGTCCATGTATTAATCCATACACTCCTATAGCCTCAATTACTTGTCTGAAGACACAAATTTCGACCAGTAAAGGAAAGTTCTAGAAGCAATATTTTCACTCCTTTAGCATTGTCCAAATAACATCAGGTATTTATACATGCTGAAGAGTGCGTTTATTTTGTATTACTCCAAGTTTGTTGGAATATGCAAGGACTGTGGTTATTATTAGAATGTATAAGGCATATTATAATTTAGTTCATTTGTCCTGAAAAGGAAGTTAACTGAACATCTCTTGGTTCATACATGTTCCAAATTTTGAGCAGCCCTTTGAGTTAGCCATAGATTTTTCTATTTTGTTTCCATTTGTCAAGGTATTTTTCTTCCCTTCATGAACTTTAGGTACACATAACTTATGTCATTTATTTATGGTCTTTTATACCTAGTTTGTAAAGTTGTAAAATAGCAAACTAAATGCAAAGAGTTTGCATTTGAAAGTAATAAAGTAGTTGCCGTATACAAACCCAAAATCTGGTTGTCTTTATTATTTTATTTGTTACTTTATTTTATTTAGTGTTGGGGATGCATGCTAGGCATGAGCTAGACCCATCCTTTCTTTACTTTGAGACAGTCTTACTAAGTTGCCCAACCAGGTCTGACATTCACCTCACAGCCCAGGCTGACCTTGAACTTGAAATCTTTAAACTGCCCACTCCTGAGTAACTGAGATTATAACCTTATACCATACCGTTCTGAATTTATTGGGTTTGGTTGTATCTTTTTATTATTTTTCATTTGAATGATATTTCTAAATTATTGTTTCTCATTGGCTTAAGCACAAAATCTTAACTCCTAATTGAACAAACTTATTTGGAGGATTTAAAGTATTTGATTATTTAATAAAACATCTTTGTTGTTGTTGTTGTTTGAGAAAGTGTCTCACCATGTGTATAACCCAGGCTGGCCTCAAAGTCTCAGCTTCCTGAGTACAGGATAACAGGCATGTACTGCCATGACCAATGTGCTAATTACTCTTTTAAGGGTCCGTGTTTATTAAGAACACAGTGATAATTTGATACATGTCTACAGTGTGTGAAAAAGAGCTTTTTATCCTTGCCATTGAAATCCATGCATCAAAATATCTGATTTTGAGATCCTATATTCCGTTTTAAGGCTGTAGACTTTGGAGCCCAGGTAAAGCCCCTGCCTAGGAACTACACAGATTTGTCACAGTGCGCAGGACCTACAGTGGCTCATCTGAAGCACCAACTTCTTCAGGCCTCCACCTTGTTACAGATCCAAGGTGCCAAACAGCCGTTCTTGTGCTGGGCTTTTAATCTAAGATTCATGCATTCTGGCAGGGAAGCTCACCAAGGCTCAAGACAGGCTTCCCTCCCTCAAGTACACAATCATTACTTTTTGCATGTCTTATATATCTTTTGATAGAGGAGCTTTATAAATGTCCTCAGACTCTAAAGGTTTGGAGACTCTGGTTCAAACTAGTGCAGGTAAATGCTGTTTTTGTGACAATATTTCATTAAATATCAGTTGGTAAAAACGCCTGTTCACGGAAAACCAAACTCAAAGCCTTAGGGTCTATATAGCAAGGGCTTATTCCAAAGAGCAGGGGCCACGTAGGATATTATATAGACTGATGCAAAGGGTCCCCATGGCAACCCTTCCAAGCACTGAGTGATGGGTCCGTCCAGTCCCCTCTTGCTGATGCCATGCTTGATATGTAAGTGAAGATCACCACAAAAGGGGAAGTGAACATGGACGAACATGTTCAGAGATCCACAGCTGATCCAGAAGGACAATTCATTTGCTTTCTACTTTCTCATCAGCCAGAACGCAACCATATGTTCCAAATGCAAGTGCTAGGACATCGGGAAGGCTACTCCTCCCCTTCCACCCTCCCCCAAGACAGGGTCTCACTGTGTAACAGCCTTGACTTGGAGCTCTCTCTTTTTACCAGGCTGGCCTGGAATTCACAGAGATCCACCTACCTCTTCCTCCAGAGTGCTCGGATTAGAGGCATGCACCACCAGTTCCTGGCTGGGAAATCTACGTTTTTCATTTTTCTTGTTTTTATTGAGCTATACATTTTTCTCCCCTCCCCATCCCCTTCTACACTCTCCCATGACCCCCCAAGCTTCTAATTTACTCAGAAGATCTTGTCTTTTTCTCCTTCCTATGTAGATCCATGTATGTCTCCCGTAGGGTCAGCTTTGCTGTCCAGGTTCTCTGGTTTTGTGGAGTGTAGGCTGGTTTTTCTTTGCCTTATGTCTAAAAGCCACTTATGAGTGAGTCATCTTATATTTGTCTTTCTGGGTCTGGGTTACCTCACTATGTGTTTTATTTTTCTAGATTCATCCATTTGCCTGCAAATTTCAAGATGTCATTTTTTTTTTAAATTCCTGAGTAGTATTCCATTGTGTAAATGTACCACATTTTCTTTACCCACTCTTTGGTTGAGGGGCATCTTGGTTGTTTCCAGGTTGCTATGACAAATAACGCTGCTATGAACATAGTTGAGCACATGTCCTTGTGGTATGACTGAGCATCCTTTGGTTATACTAAAAGTGGTATTCCCTATGCACAAAACGCAAGTCCAAATGGATCAAAACCTCAATGTAAAACCAACCACACTGAACCTCATGTAAGAAATTACACTTGAATACATTGGCACAGGAGATTACTTCCTAAATATAACCCCATTAGCACAGACACTGGGAAGCTGGACTGGAGAAATGGAACAGTCTGCCATAGCCCAGGAGGGTGATGTATCTGGAAGCCCTCGAGGGAAACATCCCCTAGTAGTTAGCACATAAGCTTCACCTTTACCCATAGTCACTTGGAAAGTTCATTTCCCAAAGATTCAGGGAAGTTGAGCCCAGCTCAGTTTGGCCAGACCATTTACATTCTCATCCTTGCTTGTCACGTATTGCTGGATGCTGTAGAATAATCCTTTTCTACACTATGAATGGGCTAATAAAAGCTGGTCAATAGCCAGGCAAATCATATAGGCAGGGTGATCAAACTGAGGATACAAAGAGAAAGAAGGGTGGAGTCAGGGAGAGTCGCCATGAGCTGCCACATGGCAGAATGTAGGTTAATAGAAATGGGTTAATTAAAAATGTAGGATTTAGTTAGTAATAAGCCTGAGCTATTGACCGAACATTTATAATAAGTTAAATAAGCCTCTATGTGGTAATTTGGGAAGTGGCTCTGGGGATGGGGAAACTCCACCTACAACTGGGTCTCCTTGCAGAATAATCCCCTAGCCACAACCTCTTCACAAAGTGCCTGCCTTGTGGTGTTTTATGGTCTTTCTTAACCATTTCAACTCCTTAGGAGGATGGAGGAGGGAGGGTAGGGTGTTCACAATTAAGCCCCAGTTTCTGGCAAGAAATTTGAAGAGTGTTCTCTTAAAAATAAGATACAACTAGAGTATGAGAAATCATACCAACCTGGATCCTGCACTCTTGGATGGGTAAGGCTTTAAAGCCTTATTCTACGACCCCAGAAACATTGATTCAGAGCACACTGTTCAGGCTTTCATTTATTTGAGTATTTCGGAGCACAAACTACTTATCAGACGTGGTACTTGGCTCTGTTTCTATAATTCTCACCAGAGTCCCCCAAAGTAAAGCAAATGAAGAAGGGATGCTTTTTTACCCCCATTGACAAGTGTGAATACTAGATGTGGTGGTTAGGTAATTAGTCCAAGGCCACCTTGCTGAGAATTATTTATTGGAAAATTAAACACAAGCAAAGAGCCTTTAAAACACTGGTTCTCAACCTGTGGGTCGCAACCCCTTTGGTGTGTGTCAAAAGATCCGCACACAAGGGTCACCTTAGACCATTGGAAAACACAGATATTTACATTACGATTTATAAAAGTAGCAAAATTACGGTTGGGGTCACCACAGCACGAGGAACTGCATTAAAGGGGCACTGAGAACCACTGCTCTAAAAATTTCAGGTTGGCATTCCACCACCCTAACATATTATATGAAGTACCTAAGTTGCTCCACCCGATCTCTTTACTTTGGCGGATGAGTATGTTCCAGTGTGCATACAAGAGTCCTAAACCCCCATTGCTAGCAGAGTGTGCTCCATCCACTGCACTGTTCCCGGCTATCCTGCTGTCCTGTGTGTTGTCAGCTAGGCTATTTTTAATGGATTTGTCATTCTCATTCTCTCTCTCTCCCTCTCTCTCCTCTCTCTCTGCTTTCATTGGACAAATGATAATTTGAGTATAATATTTACCTAACAGAGTGTTTTGTAGGAATTAATCTCTGTATTCTACTTTTTGCTAAAAGTATAATCTAGCAGAGCTAAGATAATGTCATCTGATACGGACTCAGGGTAGGGTGGGAAAAGGTGGCGATTTCCTTTAATTACCATTTTCATGATCTGAGCATAAAAGCCACAGGCAACACATCTCAAATACCATTCTTTACTTTGATGGCCTATGACACAGGCAGGCTAGTCATTATCCAAACAGAAACACGAGATGGGTCCCATGACAACAGGAAAATTAACCGAGGCATAAGTGGAACATCATCTAATAAAAGATTTTATATGAACACCCTGCCTCAGCTACTTTCTAGTTTTGTGACCTTAGACAGATCCTTTCACCTCTCTGAGAGTCACTTTTCCTATCTTTAAATGAGAGCGAACTTCCCTGGTATTGCTCATTTGGTGTGAAAGATGAGAAGTCGATGGGAAAAAAAAAGTCCAGTTCAATGGAAATCTGCTATGCCAAACAGATGTCTTCACAGGACAATCAGATGCCATGGATGCCAGACAGATGTCTTCACAAGCCAATCAGATGCCATGGATGCCAGACAGCTTAGCAGAGAAGCAGGTAAGCACATAAGCAGGCACTGAGTGGAAATGTAGGGTTGCTAAGATGCTCAGGGGTATTATAGGGGGTGGTGTGTGTGTCTGTGTGGGTTGGGATGCGCAGGATTCTGGGGCCCAATAAGAACCAGAGAACTTAGACAACAATGCGGACACTAAGAGAGACTTACATAGATCTAATCTACATGGGAAGTAGGAAGTAGAAAAACACAAGATGTCCTGAGTATATTGGGAGCATGGGGACCTTGGGGGAGGGTTGAAGGGGGGAGAGGAGAGGCAGGGAGGGGAGCAGAGAAAACTGTAGCGCTCAATAAATATCAATAATAAATAAAAGAATGGGTGTGATGTATTCTCCAACCCTCCTTGGATTTATTTGATTAACAAACCCATTGGTTTATTAAAGGTTCTGAGAAGTGGGTGGTGGTGGTGCATGCCTTTAATCCCAGCACTCAGGAGACAGAGGCAGGCAGATCTATATGAGTTCAAGGCCAGCCTGATCTATAGAAAGATCTTCCAGGACAGTCAGAATTACATCGTGAGACCTTGGCTCAACAAAACAAAACAAACAAACCAAAAATGATAACAACAATAAAAAGGCCTCTCTTAAACCAGTTTTGCCGTCTTAATCTGGAATTTTGAAACTTGAAGCTTTTTTAATGTCTCTGGAAAGTGAGGTTATTTTCAAACTTTTTTTTTTTTTGGACATCTGTTCTCTGGAGTCTCATATACAAAAACAGAGAAACAAGCAGAGGTGTGAGGACTTACATGCTGTAGAACTGAGCTCTCTAGGGTCAGTGCAAGAGTACAGTGGCTAAATCGCTGTCTCCTAGGTTCCCCTGCCACACCTCAAGGCATGTCCAAGTTTTGCTTCCAGTTTGCGGCTGAT